AGGCTGGTGGCTCCTGGTACTTGTCCGACTGTCTGGGCGTCCTCTTTTTTGAGGGCATTTCCAGAATAGTTCGTTGGCGAGACTGAGGGCCGAGGACCGAGGCTCCCCCAGGCGACCGGGCAATGGAAGGAACCGGCGGGTATTGGGTTTGATTGGTGCGCAGCGCCGCCACGCCTGTAGGTTCTGCACAAACTGTTTGGGTTTCTGTGGTCCCGCCCTGCGCTTCCTGTCCCACCCCCAAGATTCCCAGCCCAGTTTTCCAAGTCTTTCTGCATTCTAGGTTGTAGTGTTCTCGGGTAGTTCACTGATGGCTCTCAACGCACTTTCCCCAGTCTGCATCCTTCTCGATTGTCACTGTGCTCCTGGTGGTTCCGCTGCTTCGTGTTTTTATTTATCAGCGAGTTGCTTTTAAGCTCACCTATATTTGATTCTCTCTCTGCTGTTGTTCAGGCAGATTCAGGTGTGTACTTTAAAGATAAAGCTGTGTGAATCATTGTGCTGTAGTGCTTCCTATCCCCGTGTCATTTCTGTCATTATGCTGGGAGGAACCTCATTGCCACGCCTAATACAGTGATACCTTCTAAGGAAAAGCGGTGACTCCTAGGAAAAACTTGGAAGACGTGTGACATAAGGGACTGTCATAGTCCCATTTAAAGTACTGGTTTTATTTCCATTAACAGTTGTATCCTGGTTCTGCAGTTCTAATTGTTGATATTTCAAAAATTACAAAAGTATGTTTCACAGTATCAAGAAAAATGTCTTTAAAACAGTGAGGTATTAAGGCTTTTAAAATCCTAGATTTTATAAAAATATGTTAAACTGAGAGCTTATGCTTCCTGTGAGACAGTTGTATCAAACCTAGTATTGCTAAATTATAGTTAAATTGTTTATGTAAATTAGTTGTACTTAAATATTAGCCATAGTTTTTCTCAATGATTTTGTTATTCTGTTTCTGTATAAGATCTAAATTAAAATCTGGTAAGACTGCTCATTTATTGAGTGATGTTTATGAAAGAGTAAGTTTCACTAGTTCATATATTCAGTTGTTTACTATACAGAGTTGAAACAAACAGTTTGTACTTTGAGTTCTTAGGGATTGTGCTAAAACATGCATATTGCTTCACTTGTGGGGCATGTACTTGTTGTAAAAGGTCAGAGTTAAAACTCTTAGCCCTAGACATTTTCCTGATCTGTTATTTCTTAGTTCTAATCTTTTTCTCTCCTCTTATGTATTTTATTCTGCTCATTATTCATTACATTTTAAAATTTACCCCCGTATTGGGTTTCAGTGTCCTAATTTCTTTCAGTATATCTTTCCTCCTATGCTTTTTTGTTCTCTGGAAAGCTTTTTTCTAATTCTGAGTAGTATTCAAGGCTCAACCCATGTTCTCTCTAAACCAGTTTAACATTTGAAACCCAAGTAATATTGTAATTTAATAGGTATGTGAATATTCAGAAAAGTCATAGAAAATACAGCATAGTGGGCCAGCAGGTGGTGTGGTGGTTAAGGACGCTGGATTCCCACATGGCCGACCACAGTTCGAGTCCCGGACCTGGTGGCTTGCGTGCTTTCTTTCTCTCTCTCTCTCCCTGGTCAAATTAAAATAAATAAATACAGTTAAATAAAATAATTCTTAAAAAAAAAAGAAAATACAGCATAGATTTTCAAATGAGCAGTTTTGAAGAAGAGATTTTATCAGCTTCCACATGATACCAAAATATTTACGTATTATTACTATAAGGTATACTTTTTAAATCCATGCATTCTGTGACTTCAGCTGCCCCTCTGTTGTTGTGTCACACATAAACCAACTGTAAATCAAATTTTTTTTTCGCTTTTCTCTCATTAAATTGTCTCCCTCCTAGTATTCCTTTTTCTTTTTAAACTCTCAGACTTATATCTACTCTTATCTCTAGCAATTTCTCAATCACCATTCAGGTTCTTTGAAGCAATGCTGCAGGTAATGCATATACTGTATGTTTCTTGGCACTCTTACGCAAGTTTTTCTGTAGGATACTTTTTTTTTTTTTTTTTGGAGAGGTTTTCGCTATAGGGCGCATGTGCTCGCCAGACAGAGACAGAGACAGAAAGCCAGAAATCACCCCCCAAGGGGGGATGGTCACGCCGCAATCCCTTCTCCTCCATTCTCCTCTCGGGATCTTGGGCACGCATGCACACGCGTCCAGCGTGAGTTTTAAGCCACTGGATCCGGGATGCGAACCACAGTCGAGTACGTGGGAGTCCAGCGACATAGGCATTACGCTAACTGCTGGTTCCCTGTAGGATAAATTCTTGATAATGGGATAGCTGGTGAAAGAATATGCCCTTCGGGAACCAGCAGTTAGCGTAATGGCTATGTCACTGGACTCCCACATAGTCCACTGCGGTTCGTGTCCCAGACCCGGTGGCTCTCTCTGTCTGTCTGGCAAGCGCATGCGCCCTACAGTGAAAATCTCTCCAAAAAAAAAAAGAATATGTCCTTCTAAAATTTTTATAGCATTTAAAATTCCCTCAGATACTGTTAAATAATCCACTTTTCAAATGTCCGATTTCCCAGCCTTTTATCAATAATAGATATTATCTGTTGTTTACATTTTTACCAATTGAAAGAACAAAGTATTTTGATGGCATCTTAAAAAATACAGTGAAGTATGTTTTCATAATTGTTCACATTTATTTTTCAGGGACTGGCCTATTCATGTTACTCCACCCCTTTTTTAAAATTGGATTATTCTCTCCTCTTCTTATATGTTCCGTTCTTTTTGTATTGTAGTTATTAACTCCTTGTATATTAAATGTTACCTGTAATTTCTTCTACACTGACTTGTTTGATTTAGCAGGTACTTATTAGACAGTGAAATCTCCTCATGTTTATCACCAGCTATAAATTGGAAGTCCTTTAGTATCCTGTTTCTTGGTGTTGACAGCATTTAGCACTATGTCTGGTATAGATTAAGTAGTCCATAAATGATGTTTGCATTGAATGAAGTTTAAAACTTCACCCTTGTATTCAAAGAACTTAAAGTCTAGTGTCACATAAACTAGTCAAGACTTTTAATGATAAGCAAGAAAAAACAGCACAGACTCTAAATTGCATATTAAGTTACATGTCGTAGGAAGAGTTATCTATCAGGAAACATCCCTAATTTAGTTTTTTCCCCTAAACATCCTACTGTTCATTTCTTTTCCATCCACTTCTATACTGAAAGATCCAGTATTTTTTATTGGAGTAAAATGACATCTAAATCCTCCATAGTGAAAATGTATTGGGTTTTTTGGAAAAGTCATAACATATATTGCTATGTAAAAATGCGTCATGACTTTTTCAATGACCTGGTATTCTGCTCTCTCTTTCTGAGACAACTTGCTGAACCTAGTTCAAATAGTCATTTGTTTTGTGTATGCCCAGTTTCAATTTTAACTGGAATCCTAATTTTATTTTTCTTGTTATTTCAGGTAAGACCATGAATTATGGCATTTCTTAAGTGAAGCATTCAGGAATGAAGTGAGAATATGTCATATAGAAAATAGATTTTCTTTTAAGTTATGTCTATTAATTTGACTGTAGATATATATATTTACTTCCTTAGTAATGCAAGAATTCTTTGTGGGAAGCAGAGAAGCAAGCAACTGCATTTCTTGTACTCACCTAAACATTACTGGAGGATAAGCCACATCAGTCTACAGAGAGGTTTTCATACAAGTAAAATAAGATGTAAATGGGCCAAAAGTGAAACACGGTCTTGTAATAAGCACTGTTACTCTCCAAGCAACCATGGTTTACATATTGGAATTTTGAAACTTAGCACTTCTGCTCCCAAAGGACTTACAAAAGTGAGCATTCGTATGTCCCGAATTAAAAGTACTTTGAACTCTGTTTCAAAGGCTGTTTTTGGTAGTCAGAATGAAATGATTTCACGTTTAGCTCAATTTAAGCCAAGTTCTCGAATACTGAGAAGAGTATCAGACAGTGGCTGGTTAAAACAGAGAAACATTAAAGAAGCCATCAAATCCCTGAAAAAATACAGTGACAAATCTGCTAAAAAGAATTCTTTTCCAGAAGAGAAAAGTCACGTTACAGATAAAGAAGAAGATATAGGTAAACAAAGCCTTTTTCATTATACAAATAGTTTAACCACAAAATTTGGTGAGTCATTCTATTTTTTATCAAATCATATTAATTCATACTTCAAACGTGAGGAAAAAATGTCTCAAAATAAGGAAAATAAAGATTTCCAAGACAAATCAGAACTTGAAGCTAAAAAGATTGAAGAAGTTAAATCCAGTTCTCCAGATCCTGCCATCGTTTCTGATAAGCCAGGCTCAGAATCATCTTTGGATACTGTGGACAAGGTTGCAAGTCCTAGTGGGATGCCAGAAGTTCTTCCAGTATCTACTAAGCAGAGCATTGCTAACTTTCTTTCTCGTCCCACTGAAGGTGTACAAGCCTTAGTAGGTGGTTACATTGGTGGACTTGTTCCTAAATTAAAGTATGAGTCAAAGAGTCAACCAGAAGAACAGGAAGAACCTACAAAAACTGAGCAGGCTATCAGTAAGGACAAACATGCAGAAGAGAAAAAGCATTTATCTCTTCAGCGAGAAAAGGCAAGTTTGGCATTCAGGGTGGCTTTAAGATGTATTAATTTTCGTCAAGTTTGTAATTTTCATTTCCTAATGGTACCTAAAAAATTTTAGCCTTTCTGTTTCATAATCTAATCATATTTATTTATTACGTCTTTATAGATTATTGCAAGAGTGAGTATTGATAATAGAACACGGGCATTAGTTCAGGCATTAAGAAGAACAACTGACCCAAAACTCTGCATTACTAGAGTTGAAGAACTGACTTTTCATCTTCTAGAATTCCCTGAAGGAAAAGGAGTGGCTGTCAAGGTAATTTATTTATCTAATTTGGTTTTATCTTGAAATAAAAATACTAATAAACCTAATATGGAGAAAGTAAAAAGCCTTTCATTTTTAATTTGCATTTTTTAGTAATTTTTTTTTTCAGAGAATTTTTTTGCTATAGGGCACATGTGCCTGCCAGAAAGACAGAGAGAGACAGAAAGTGAGAAATCACCACCGCCAGGGTGTATGACCACGCTGCAATCTCTTCTCCTCTATTCTCCTCTTGGGATCTTGGGCACACACGCACACATGCCTGGCATGAGTTTAAGTCACTGGGTCTGGGACTCGAACTGCGGTCGACTATGTGGGAGTCCAGTGACATAGCCATTACACTAACTGCTGGTCCTGGTAATTTTTATTATACATTTGACATACATTCAGTAATTGCCACATTTATTGTGTAATATACATTATGATAATTGATCTTTCTTATGTGATATAGGTTGTATTATTAGTACTAATATCTGTACTTTGAGATTAAATATTTATGAAATGGAAGACAAATACCAGATTTTTCTTAATTATGGTATAGATATTTATACTTTGTAACTATTTTGTTGTAGAGAGATTTTTGCTTAGGGCATGTGTATTTGGCAGAGAGACAAAAAGCAAGAAGTTACCCCCCTGGGGGAGATGGCCACACCACAATCCCTACTCTATTCTCCTCTCAGAATTTTGGGCACTCACTCATACATTTGCCTGGTGTGAGTTTCAAGCCACCAGGTCTGGGACACAAACCATGGTTGACCACATGGGAGTCCAGTACCTTAACTACTATGCTACCTACCCCTAGAAGTGAATATATTAAATAAAAGAGAAATGTAGTTAAGTCTCATCACATCTATACTATTATTTATAATATTTAGTGAACAGTTTGAAAATACATATCAGAATCCCATTAGAAATCTATTAGTGCTTATTTTTAGCTTGTCATTCTGAAAACTGTAAGTTAACTTAGTTTACATTCATTCTACTTTTTACAATCACCTTGCTAAAAAATTCCATGCCTTCAAATAATGTAGCCTATCTTAAGTTTTTATGTTATATAACAGATATGTTATGATATATAAGCTTCAGTATTTTGTGCTTCTAAAATTTGAGGTTATCTTTCATATTTATATAATTTCTTACCTGAAAAATAAATTCTTAAAAATATATATATGTGATTTCAAGTATATTTTACATTTCGGTGATATACTGAAAACATCTAAAGTAGAATTCCATACTGTTCTGGCTCATTTAGGCTGCTATAACAAAATAGTTTAGACTAGGAAATTTATAAACGAGTTTATTTTTCTCAGTCTAGAGAATGGGAAGTCCATGGTGCTGCCAGATTCAGTCCATGGTGCTGCCAGATTCAGTGTCTGATGAGTTCCTCACAAATGGTGGCTTCCAAAGGCATATTCACATGAAGAATGGGCATGGAAGCTCCTTTCACACCTCTTTGGCAAGGACACTAATCTTATTCCTGAGGCAGAACCCTCATGACTTAATCACTTCCCAACAGGCTTCACCTCTTAGTACTGTCTCATCTAGTATGAGGTTTTCTTTGGGGGAGGGGGGCAGTTTTTGCTATAGGACATGTGCAGTCACCAGAAAGACAGAGAGAGACAGAGAGACAGAAAGCCAGAAATCACTCCCCAGGGGAGATGGCCACGCTGCAATACCTTCTTCATTCTCCTCTCTGGGTCTTAGGCATGCACACACATGTGCCCAGTGTGAGTTTAAGCCACCGGGCTTGGGACTCGAACCACAGTCGACAATATGGGAGTCCAGCAACATAGCCATTATGCCAACTGCTGGTCCCTGAGTACTGGGTTTCTACCTGAAATTTAGGGGTAACACCAACATTCAGACCATAGCACATTAAATAAAAAACATTTTATTCAAATATATTATTTTTGTAAGCATAAAGTTCTGTAAACTTCACAAATTGCACATCCTATGTAATCAGCACCCAGATGAAAAAACATGACCAATGCTTCACAAAGCCTTTCGGTCATATCTCCTAAAAAAAGGTAATCATGCATCAGTTTCCCCAGTTTCCCCTGTTTTTATCTGTTATCTTAACTATTGTGTAGTTTGATTCTTTCGCTCAACATGTTGGTAGGAATCATTTACATTGTTATAGGTAGTTATAAATCACTCATTCTCATTGCTTTTATGTTTTATGGTGTGAAAGTATCACAATTTATTCAATGTACTTTCCATGCATTTCTCAGTAGTTTTCAGATTTAGTCTGTTATGAGTAGTCTTGCTAAGTGAGACTTTTGAGTACTCTTTCTTTTCGAGAGAGATTTTTTTGCTTTAGGGTCAGTGTGCTCACCAGAGACAGATAGAGTGACAAAGTGAGAAATCACCCTCCCCCCCAGGGGATGATCATGCCACATTCCCTTCTCCTCCTGGGATCTTGAGCACACACACACACATGTGTGTGCCCAGTGTGAGTTTGAAGTCATCAAGTCCAGGACTCGAACTGCAATCGACCATGTGGGAGTCCAATGATGTAACCACTATGCCACCTGCTGGTCCCTAAACTTTGAGTACTTTATTTTGGGTAACTAATCCCTCAGGACCCTTCAGTAAGTGCAGTATAGTAATATATATTCAGACCAAATTAGAATGAAAAATCTACATAGTTGTAAGAAAGTTGTTTCCCTTTCCCTTAATAATAAGCATTAAACAATAATGAACTGGATAAAGTAATTAAGACATGCTGGTATGTATTCTTTCATGTGAACTTTCCTAGTTAAGCTTTTGTTATTATAAAGAATTGATTTTATTTAAAAAAAACGTTAGAATTGTTTGTTATAAAATGTCTATATGAATTTTACCTTTTAAATGTGTGTATCATATTTATGGTGGCCATTTTTAGAGAACTATCTTTGATACTTAAACAAGTTTTTTCTTTTGTGTACATTTCCTTTGTGTGTTGCCTTTTTTTCTTATTTTTTAATTTGCCAGAGGACACTTGTACTTACCAGAGAGACAAAGAGGGAAATGGAGAAATCACACCTTCCAATGGGCCATGCCACATTCCCTTCTCCATTTCTCAGACCTGTTCAGCTTTTGGGCATGTGTACATATGTGCCTAGTGTGTCCGTTCGTCTGTTCGTCCGTCCGTTCTTTCTCTTTCTTTCTTTCTTTCTTTCTTTCTTTCTTTCTTTCTTTCTTTCTTTCTTTCTTTCTTTTTTAGGTTTTTGCCTTAGGGCACATGCGCTTGCTATAGAGAGGCAGACAGAGAGAGACAGTGAAAAATCCTTTGGAGGGATTGCCACACCACAGTCCCTTCTCCATTCTCCTCTCAGGATTTTGGGCATGCACACACACGCACCCAGCGTGATTTTTTTCAAGCTGCTGGGTCCTGGACTTGAATGGCTATTAGCCATGTGGGAATCTAGTATCTTAACCATTGTGCCACCTGCTGGCCTCCCAGTGTGTTTTTCAAGCTGCCAAGGCCAGGATTTGAACCACATGGTCATATGGGATTCAGCTGCCTTAACCACTAGGCGACAGAGCCAGCATTTATAGCAGCCACATTTAGGAAATTCTCTTAAATCATTTTTAATTTGCTGGTATAAAGGTGGTCCCTCACTATATATATATGTATAGATATATTTTTTAAGTTTATTTATTTCTTTTATCAGAGAGAGAGAAATAGCATTCCCATATGACCTTGACACCATGATTCATGCCAGCTTCAGCCAGCCCTGGATCATGGGTACACATTTGCCCTGTGTACTCAGGGAGGTCTCTAGCCATTAACCGGGGACCTTCTCATGTGGAAATTTTACTGCTCCACTACCATTCAGTCTTTCATTATAAGTTTAAATTAAAAACAAACAAACTTTTTATTGTTTTAAAGAAAGGGCAACACATGAACATTGTAGAAAAGAAAAGAAAAAAATATATATACATACATATTGATAGTTCTACCACGCTCAGATAACAAGTATAGCATACTAGGGTTTATTTTTATTAGACAAGAGTTATCCTTAGTAACAAACACCACCAGAATCTCAGTGACTTAACAGAAGTTTATTTCTCATGTATGCTAAGTCACTTGTGGGGGACAGGGTAAGAGTGTTCTAGCGAAAAATAATAGGTTTATTTTATCATACCCTATTTCTCATGCCCATGGGCCTGAGAAGTACAGCCTTCTGTGTGCTTAGAAGAAGAACCAAACTGGGATTGGTGAACATTAGTAATGTCTGCTACAGCATTCGTCTAGAAATTGTTCTAAGCTTATGCATATCAAATGAACTTCCAAAATAACTCTAAACTGGAGTCTAATCTAGACCACACATTGCATGAGGATTATTAATCTACAAGTCATTTATATTATATTACAATCCATCTTCACGACTGCTTTTTTATCCCCACCTTCAAAACTGACTAGTTAAAGTTGACTTTGTTGGTTAACTAGAACTTCCTTTCTGGATTTACCTAGGTTCCTCCTTACTGATGTTAGTCATTGTATTCCTCTTTCCTTTTGTTCCCTGATCACTGGAGTTTAAATATAAAGGCTTTATTGAGCTAGACATTTCCTTGTTAGAGTGCATTGGTAGATAATGATACGTGCCTCATAATACATCATGTCAGAACACCTGTAATAACCGGTGAACAATCATTAGTAATGCTGAGGACACCCCTGGGTGAGAGATGACAGACTGCTCTTCATTGGACAGTTAGAGAGAACTATTATCCCATCAACCATTAATCAAATCATATTTAAAATTAGTCATTTAATTAGGGTTGTAGAAGGATGCCTTTCCAGTTCTTTCACTCTTTCTACATTCTAATTGATATTCTTATGTAACTTAAGCTATCTAGATAGTCTCAAAGGCAAATTTTATAGGAAAAGTAAGAGAAATAATTTCTATTTAGTCACCAACTTTCAAAGTAAGGTGTTTGTATTGCTTTAATATAAATTGTTTTAATTCATGATAACATGAATTTTTTGCACTATTTAAAAAAATATTAGGCCATCAGACAGCATGGAGGTTAAGGTGGCTGGATCCCACATGGCCAACTGTGCAGTTCGAGTCCTGGACCTGGCAGCCTCAGAAACATGCCAGGCACTTGTGCGTGCATTCCCCAAATCCTGAGAAGAGCATGGAGGAAAAGGGATTGTGGCACGGCCATTCCTCCTGTGGAGTGATTTCTCACTTTCCCCCTCTGTCTCTCTCCAGCAAGCACACATGCTCTATAGCAAACTAAAAAAATTTAAAAATACCATTATTGGGCACTAATGGCATGGTGGTTAAGATGGCAGATTCGCACATGGCCACCTACACAGTCTGGTGGCTTGAAAGACATACATGCCAGGCACCTGCAGTTGTACTCCAAATCCTGACAGGAGAATGGAGAAGGGATTGTGGCATGACCTTCCCCTGGGGCATACTTTTTCACTTTACTTTCTCTCTGGCAAGTGCACGTGGCTTATAGCAAAAAATACCTATCAATCTATGGTTCTTTTCTCCCTCTTTTTGTAAATGCTGAATGTATCACAACTTTTGACTAATGGTCAGGTGATTGTATATGGGTCTGTTTCTGGACACTGTATTTTGTTCCATTGGTTTATTTGTCCCTGCATCCTACTATTGCACTGCCTAAGTTATTATAGCTTTATAATTAACTTAATATCTGGTAGGATAAATCTTTCAATTTTGTTCTTCCTCTTAATATTCGCTTGCTATTCTTTTTTTTCTTTTTTTTTTTTGTGGGGGGAGAGGTTTTTTGCTATAGGTCATGTGTGCTTGTCAGAAAGACGGAGAGATAGAAAGCAAGAAATCACCCCCAGGGGGAATGGTCATGCCATAATCCCTTCTCTTCCATTCTCCTCTCTGGATCTTGGGCATGAGTTTAAGCCACTGGGTCCGGGACTTGAACCGCGATCGACTACATGGGAGTCCAACGATGTAGCCATTACGTCATCTGCTGGTGCCCACTTTGCTATTCTTCTAATTTTTAAAATTTTATTTTAGAGAGATTTTTGTTGTAGGGTGCACCTGCTCTCCAGAGAGACAGAAAGTGAGGAATCACTCTCCCCCCCTAGGAGGAATGGCCATGCCATGATCCTTTCTCCTCCATTCTCCTCTGAGGATTTTGGATGTGTATGCGCACGCGCATGGTGTGAGTTCTAAGCCACTGTCTCTGGGACTCAAACCATGGTCAACTATGTGGGAGTCTAACGATGTAACATTACACCATCGGCTCGTCCCAACAGTTTGCTTTTTTTAACATGTATTTATGTAAAAATTTTAGAATCTGCTTATCTACCAAAAATTGAAAAAGTAAAGAAGAAAAATCATATTGTATGTATGATATATGTTCCATGTATGTTTAGAACAGTTAAGGATGAATTGAGTCTCCCAAGCCATGACTATGATATAGTCTTACATTTCTTGAGTCATTTTATTTTCCCTCAGCATTTAAAATTATTTAATTGTGGGTGTTACATATCCTTACCAGAGAGACAGAGGCAGTGAGAAAGGGGAAAGTGAGAGATCACCTATTGGGGAGGTGGACACACTGCAGTCCCTTTCCCTCCATTCTCCTTTCTGGATTTTAAGCATGTGCCCAGCATGCTTTTCAAGCTGCTGGGTCCAGGAGTTGAACTGAGCAGTCAGCTGTGCGAGGTCCAGTACCTTAGCCACCATGCCACCTGTTGGGCTATAATTTTTATTATTTTTGTTTTAGCATCCTTTATTGCTAATTATAATAGAAATGTGTAATATAACGATATAATATCAAATATCCCTTGATTTTGGTCATTCGGTAGTGATTATATAATATGCATTATAACTTTTCAGGATGTTGTACATTGTGAACAGAAAGAACTGAATAAGATACATATTACATCAGATAATTTCTTTTTTTTTTTCTTTTTTTTGAGAGGTTTTTGCTGTAGAGTGCGTGCGTTTGCCAGAAATACAGAGAGAGACAGACAGAGAGACATAAAGTGAGAAATCACCCCCCGGGGAGATGGCCATGCCACAATCTCTTTTCCCTTATTCTCCTCTCAGGATCTTGGGCACGCATGCACATGGTCCAGCGTGAGTTTAAGCCACTAGGTCTAGGACTTGAACCACGGTCGACTACGTGGGAGTCTAGCAACATAGCCATTACACTAACTGCTGGTCCCATTAATTCCTTTTTCTATACTATTTATTTATTCCTTGTTTGGCATATAGAGTGGGGTATCAATAACCATAATTCAGTTAGAGTAAGAGCTGAGTCAAAGCTGGGTTGTGACCAGGGAAGACCTCTAGTTTGTCCTGTTTTTAGTACATATTCTGCCAGGACTTTCAGTTGACAATCTGGTGTATTCATTACCAGCACTGTATTGGGTCCTAAAACCTCAAGAATATCCCCCCGAAAAAAATCATTTTTAGAGGTCTTCAGCTTAGATTTATAGTCTTCCATACCTTATCATTTCAGAATCCAGCAAATGGCTTAGGGCAAATTAACCTTATGATTGTAGCCCCTCAGATCTTCAGTTTTGTCACACCAATCCCATGAGGCTCAAGATGCTCAGCTAGCATCTCTGTCCTCCATTTGTGGTCCTCTGTCTGAGCAAGTCCCATTTTTGATCTTTTGCTTTTTCCAGAATCAGCAACGCCCCAGTGGAAGAAAAACCGTAGCTTCCCAGCTTACTCTCCTGCAGTATCTCCTCTCCAGATGCTCAGTGCCTCTGATTGCTTCAGTAGTTCTCTGATGCCGTTAAACAGATGGTGCTTGTCTTGTACTTTATGAAGCTTTCCTTGTTGTTCTTGGCATGAACAGTGATTTCTAACAGACCGTTCCATCCTAACCACAAATGGAAATTTGCGTTTCTGTTCTCCATCATTGTTCAAGTTCAAGTGGAGCCGGGCTTGACAATACTCAGGGGAAAAAAAGGAAAAGAATATAGACCAATGGTATTTCAGGTTTGATTGATCATAGAAAAGAAACAAAATGAATAATACATTGGAACCATTCCCTTAAGCCTGGAAGATTGACCATGTATCTTTGATGGGTTTGACACAGAACCCTGGAACTTAAATTCAGTATGAAGTTGACCACTTAGAATCTTGAAGATCCAGGTTTATGTAAACCACTGTATTTAATTACAGTGGTCAGTTTTTACTTTCCACCTCCTTACTCATTACATTTGTGTATATTCCACTATGAGGTCTCCTTGTGTCCCATATGTAACGTACACAGATGGTTTGTTTTTCTTTTAAAAAGAGTTTAATTTCCATTAATTACTATGAAGCAATTTTATTCTCTTAATGTTAGGAATTTGGAAAGAATATTGTGTAAAATTTATATGGTAACCTTTTCTTCTATCAATCGATACTTCGTAAACTTGTGTTAAGCAAATTCATTATTAAGCTTTGTTCTCTTTTTAAGATAATTATTTAATCTTATTTATTATTATTATTATTATTTGCTATAGGGCATGTGTGCTCACGAGAGAAAATGAGAGAAAAAGAGAGAGGAAAAGCAAGCTGCTAGGTCTGGGACTTGAACTGCGATCGGCCATGTGGCAGTCCAGAGCCTCAAGCACTATCATGCCACCTGCTGGCCCCTAAGTATTATTCCTTTTATTTTTTAAGAGGTTTTTTACTTAGGGTGCATGTGCTTACCTGAGAAAGAGAGACAGTGATAGTGAGAGGGAAAGTGAGAAATCATCCCCTAGAGGGCACAACTCAATCCCTTTTCCATTATCCTCCCGGAATCTTGGGCATGCATGCACAAGCACCTAGCGTGATTTTTTTTTGTTTTTGGAGAGATTTTCACTGTAGGGCGCGTGCGCTCGCCAGACAGACAGAGACATAGAGAGAGAAAGCCAGAAATCACCCCCCAGGGGGGATGGTCACGCCGCAATCCCTTCTCCTCCATTCTCCTCTCGGGATCTTGGGCACGCACGCACACACGCCCGGCGTGAGTTTTAAGCCACCGGGTCCGGGACATGCACCGCAGTCGTCTACGTGGGAGTCCAGCGACATAGCCATTACGCTAACTGCTGGTTCCCTGATTTTTTTTTTTTTTTAAAAAAAAAGAGTTTTTTTTTGCCATAGGGCGCATGTGCTCGCCAGAGAGACAGAGAGACAGAAAGTGTGAAATCACCTCCCAGGGGGATGGCCACACCACAATCCTTTCTTCTCCATTCTCCTCTTGGGATCTTGGGCATGTACACATATGTGCCCAGCGTGAGTTTAAGCCACCGGGTCCAAGACTTGAACCATGGTCGACTACATGGGAGTTCAACAATATAACCATTATGCTAACTGCTGATCCCTGGTATGATTTTTCAAGCCAACACGCCTGGGACTTGAACCGTATTCAGCCATGTGGGAGTACAGCAATGTAACTGCTCTGCCATCTGCTGGCCCCAACATTGTTCCTTTTAAAGAAAATATTTACATGAGATTAATTTTTGTCCTCAAAGTTAAGACTGGTACATCCTAGATATTAGCTGAGATTAATGTATCAAAAATTAATCTTTCGGGAACCAGCAGTTAGCGTAATGGCTATGTTGCTGGACTCCCACGTAGTCTACTGTGGTTCGCGTCCTGGACCCGGTGGCTTAAAACTCACGCCGGGTGCATGTGCGTGCGTGCCCAAGATCCTGAGAGGAGAATGGAGGAGAAGGGATTGCGGCGTGACCATCCCCCCTGGGGGGTGATTTCTGGCTTTCTCTCTCTATGTCTCTCTCTGTCTGTCTGGCGAGTGCACGCGCCCTATAGCGAAAACCTCTCCCCCCCCCAAAACAAAACAAAACAACAATAACAAAAAAACTAATCTTTCAAGATTATTGAGAAAGTGAGGAACACTGACACCTTAATTTTATGTGATGATCTGCATATGGTGATTAAAAATAATTACACATTTTCACTCTTTGTTTGACAAAAGCAACAAAGTATCTTTTTTCTCAATACAGGAAAAAGTTATTCCATATCTATTACGACTGAGACAAATCAAAGATGAAACTCTTCAGGCTGCAGTTAGAGAAATGTTGGCCTTAATTGGTTATGTAGATCCAGTTAAAGGGAGAGGAATCCGAATTCTCACAATTGATGGTGGAGGAACAAGGTAAGACTAGAAAAAATGATTTTTAGAAACTTAAGAGTTCAGCTCTGAGATTAAAACTAAGCTGATTTGATACAATTACATCATTATAAAACATTTTAAGAACAAAGCGTGGAGTTGCTCTATCTAAGAGCTATTCTAACATATACCTAAATTACCTTTTATTTTGATTCAATCTAGTATTTATGTTTTGATTTGGTCTTTTCAGGTATTTTTAGTAGTTTAAGACCTTGTTACCATTATTCTCTTAAACGCTTGGCAATATTTTACAATTTTAGCTTTCTTTTATAGTATATATCTTACCCACATATAGCAATTAACTAGTCTAGATGGTTTAGAAAAGGAAGACTATACCAGTAACTTCCTGGCTTCTGTGTTCTCACTTGGAGATGCCAGTTTTGGTTCTATATGAGAAATAACATGTTCTTTTTTTAAAAGGAGATAATTTTACTATTGAACTTTCTTTACTTTATTCCTGATAGAGCACATTTGTGAGTACGTGAGAGTGAAAGAGGAATGGGGGGCATGAGCACCCTCCATTGGATCTGGTCATGCCATGATCCACATCCTCCACTTCTCCAGGTCTTTAGATCTTGGGCAGTCATGTGTGTATCTGGTGCCTTGCAGGCCACTTGGCCAGGAGATTCAAACCTTAGTTGCCATGTGGCATCTGACTTCTGTTTTTGTTCTTTTTTCTTTTCAGTTGACAGAAGGTGTATGTGAATTCTCTAGAAAGAAGGCGAGTGTAGTCAGTGGGTTGTGGGCATGCTGCAATCTCTTCTCCATTTCTCCATCTTGTTGAGATTTGGGGCATGTGCCAGGCATGGTGTTTTTTAGACCTCCAGAACCAGGATTCAAACCTCCGTCAACCATGAGGGATTCAGCTTCCTGAATCACTAAGCTACAGGGCTTCCCCCAGCTGCTTTTGAGTTGTGTGTTACCACTGTGCCACAGAGCCAGTCCATAGTTCTCTGGGAACATACGTATGCGTTTATTCAGTTTTAGTTTATATAATTATTCCCTGCTTATTGCTTATGTTCTTTGGCTTGCCTTTTTTTTTTTTTTTTTTTTTTAACCTTTCCCCCTAAGTTTTCTAGCTTGGGTCCTAGTTCTTTGCCACCTCTACTCTTATCTGTTAGATCGATAGCGCTTTCCTGGTCTGTTGTTCTTAGCTTTAAATTATGTCTCTTACTTTGCTTTCTGGTTGGTATACCTGCCTTACCAATCATTCTCATGTATATTCAAGTACTACTCTTATCTTTTTGTTACATTCCAGAATCCTATTTGTCACCTAAGCCATTTATACTTTGACATTAGTGTGAAGGAAAGAGCAGTGAGAAAAGGAGGCTATTTAGTAATCTCTAGGCATAAGGCAGTAAGGTTTTAATCTCAGATGGTGGCAGTGGGAAGCAGAAAGAAGGAAAGATATACAAGAACTTTTGAAGGAAAGCAAGACTGGATATGGTAGAAATAGGTCTAGAAAGGTCTGGAACACTTGGGATGTAAGCAAACACTGTGCCTGACCTGGACAGAATTACAGGGACAGGGAAAGTGATTGGTGTTGAGACAGTTCTGATTTGGACATGTTAAATATAAGGTTACATGTATTCATAAGGAAGTGTTCATTTGTCAAAGAAGAGCCAACTGAAGACAAAGTTTTAGGAGATCTTGGTGGATGTTTCTTAGGGAAATGAAATAATGTAAGAAAGGATACGTTTGATTTCTGCAATGAAATGACAATGAATTGGAGAGAATCATTCTGGTCCATAGAATTGGTTTCAAGTGATTAAAAAGTAGGGTAGGTGGCAGTTAAATGAGAATGGCAGTTGAGTGGGAATTCCACTGAGCAGCTAAAAGAATTCTTGCTGCTATTAGTCCAGGGGAATTGGGACAGATAGTGTTACTCATTGAACGAACTAACAAATATTGATTGAGTATCCCATGATGTAAACACTGATACAAATCCTGGGGTCATCAAGTAAACAAAACAGACAAAATCTGAGTCTTCATGGTGCTTGCATTCTAGAGGGGATAATTAAGCAAAACAAAAAATTTAGAAAAACTAAAATATATTATTGGGTAGTAATGGGTACTATAGAGAAAAATGAAGCAAAGTAAAGGGATAGGGAATAATAGTGCTAGGTTAAACAATGATCAAGACCAGAGCTTTTTTAAAAAGTAATATTTAGGGACCAGCAGATGACATAAAGGTTATGTTGCTGTAATTGGCTGTGGTTCGAGTCCCAGACCTGGTGACTTAAACTCACGCTGGGGCACATGTGTGTGTGTGTGCCCAAGATCCCAATAGGAGAATGGAGAAGGGATTGCGGTATGGTCATCTCCCCCTGGGGGAGTGATTTCTCACTTTCTATCTCTCTGTCTCTGTCTTGTGGTGAGCTTACACACCTTATAGCAAAAACCTCTCTTAATTAAAAAAAAAAAAAAAACTACTGTTAAAGTAGTGATCTGAAAGAAGTAAGAAAAGTAAAGAACATTCTGATGGCTAAAGTGAGAGAGAGATGGTGAATAAGTGGCTTCGATGAATAAGTATTTGATCTTTCGGAATAAGAGTTGTTTATTATTCAGGAAAGAAGTTGGAGTAAGGACATTTGGGAAATTCTTGAGCTGGGGTAGGATGATGAAGGTAAAGTCCCACTGGAGGTGATCTTGTCCTGTAAAGGACCCTTGGCTGTGTTTGGAGAGACTGTTGGTGTTTACCAATAATATTGGTGGTGGAGGGCCACTTGCATCTAGTTGCTCTAAACATCTAACAGTGCACTGTATAGCACCCCCAAGACAAAGAGTTATCTGACCCAAAATGTCAGTAATTCTACTGTTAAGAAACTGGTCAAAGGAAATATGACCAAACAGCCAGAATGGAAAGTTTCAGTTGAAAGTAGTAAGTTATGAGTGCTTGTGAGAGAAAGAACCTGTATCCCTCCTTTCTTTCAAATAAGAGAGTGTGGTAATTTATTTTCAAGTCTTTTGTGAGAATATCTATGTACTTAAAAAAAAAAAAAATCCTGGTATAAGATAATGGAGATCACCTTGTTAAATATATTACATTTTATCTAGCATTATCTTTTTCCTTCATTTTCACTTTGAATTAATAATGTAGGTCATCAGTAATGTCATGATGCATTTTTGCATAGAAAAATATGTCATGACTTTCCCAATGACCTAATATCTCTTTTATAAGCTCTTTACTTTTCTTTTCCTTCAGATTTTTGCCATAAGGCACATGTACTTGCTGGAGAGAGACAGAGAGAGTGAGAAGAAAAAGAAATCTCCCCACGCAGGATTTTGAGTATGCACAAACATGTGCCTGGTGTGATTTTTAAGCCACCAGGTCCAGGACAGCCATGTGGGAGTCCAGTGTTGTAACCACCATACCACCTTGCTGACCCTGAGCCGTTTATTTTCTTACATCTCAAAGCCATATTAGTTCTTGCCATAAATAAATAAATATAAATATAAATATCTTTGGTGTTCTGTTTTGATCTTACAACTTTCTCTAGTGACTTTCTATTACTATTATCAAAACAGAATTCGGCACTCTAAATTTTACTTTGTGGTTCCTAGCTACCATTGCATTCCAGGACTTAACCTACCCCACATCTTATGTTGTGAATTGATCTTTTCATTGTTTTTGTATATTCTCCCAGTGTTAAGAACTGTTCTCATGGTACATATCCAGAATTGGCCTATACCTCCAAAGGTATTTCATCTTTTCACATGCCTTCATGATATTGGATTGTTGGGAAAGTCATGATGTATTTTTGCATAGAAAAATAGAAAAATATGTCATAATTTTCCCAACCACCTAATATTTAATGCTTTTGGCAAGAATCTATAAAAGAACAGTCAGTAGCATTAATATACCACTAGTGTACAGGGCCATCCTAAGATTATTGAGAGTTTTAAAAATGAGTAAATAAAAAGGAGCTTCTGAATCTGAGTAATGCAGTACAGACATACCTTAGAGCTATTGTGGGTTTGTTTCCAGACTACCAGAATAAAGCAAATGTGATAATAAAGCAAGACACACAAATACTTAGTTTCTCAGTGCATATAAAACTTACACCTAGGGCTAGTCCTGTAAGTGCATTGGGAGTCAGATCCTACATGGCCAACTCTGGTTCACATCCCTAAAACTTGGAAAAGCACACTATGCACATGTGCCTGCGTTCACAAAATCCTGATGGGAAGGATAAATGGAGGAAAGGGATCACAGCATGACCATGCCCATTGGGAGGTGCTTTCTCTCTTCCACACCACCTCTGGTGAGCGTATGCATCTTCTGGCAATTAAAAAAGAAAGTTACGTTTGCACCATGCTGTAGTCTATTAAAAAGTGTGCAAGAGCATTATGTCTAAAAACATAATGCACATACCTTAATTTAAAAATGCTTATTGGTAAATAATGTTAATGATCACCTGAGCATCAAAATCTTTTTTCTGATATGAGAATTATGCCTTTACGTTAATGCCTCTGACTGATCACAGAGTGGTGGTTGCTGAAGGTTTGGATGACTGTGACAATTTCTAAAGATAAAACAAAGTTTAATACATTGTTCAACTGTTTTACAACAGACTTCTCTGTAGCTTGTGATGCTATTGGACAGCATTTTACCTGCCTAGAACTTCTTTCAAAATCAGAATCAGTACTCAAATCCCACCACTGCTTTATTGATGAAGTTTCTGTAATGTTCTAAATTTTCTGTTATGTCAACAGTGTTCATAGCATCTTGACCAGAAGTAGGTTCCATCACAAGAAACCACTATCTTTGCTCATCTGTAAGAAACTACCCTTTATCTTTTAAAGTTTGAGTTTGAGATTACAGTAATTCAGTTCCATCTTCAGGCTCCATTGCTAGGTCTAGTTCTCTTGGTCTTTCTATTGTAAGTGCAGTTACTTCCTCTACTGAACTCTTAAATTCCTCAAACTCATCTGCGAGGGTTGGAATCTTCTTCTTCCAAACCCCTATGATTGTTGATGTTTTACCTCCTCATGAGTTACAGATGTTCGTAAAAATAGCTAGGATGGTGAATCTTTTCTAGGAAATTTTTAATTTACTTTGCCCAGATCCATCAGAAAAATCACCATTTATGGCAGCTATAGTCAGAGGGAATGTATTTTTTCAGTAGTAAAACTGAAAGTCCAGATTACTCCTTGATACATGGGTTGCAAAATGGATGTTATGTTAGTGGGCCTGAAAACAACATTAATCACCTTGTATGTGTCTATCACTGCTTTTGTGTGACCAACTACATTGTCAGTGAGCAGTAATAATTTGAAAGAAATCTATTTTTTTGAGCAGTAGTTCTCAGTGGTGGGCTTTAAATAGTTAATAAATCATTCCATAAACAGATGTACTGTCATCCAACTTGGTTGTTCTTTTTATAGAACACAGACTATAGTAGTGGATTTAGCATAATTTCAAAGGGCCCTAGGATTTTCAGAATGGTAAATGAGCATTGGCTTCAACTTACAAATCACCAACTGCGTCAACCCCTAACAAGAGAGTCAGCCTGTCCTTTGAAGCTTTTACTTTTCCTCTCTATCTATCAAAGATCTATCATATTATTTGCCCCAATAACATTATGGTATCTTATTTATTATTATTATTATTTTTAATTTGACTAGAGATAGACAAGTGAGAAAACAAGCCACCAGGTCCAAGACTTGAACCATGGTTGGTCACGTGGGAGTCCAGCACCTTAATCACCACACCACTGTTGGCCCCAATGTCATCTTCTAATATAAGGCTATTTTGTCTACATTGAAAGTCTTGTCATTTAGTATAGCCATCTTCTAGTTATCATAGCTAGATGTTCATGATAATTTGCTGCGTGTTCTTGCTGCCTCACCTTGCCTTTTCTGTTTTGGAATTGGCTTCTTTCCTTAAACCTTCTGAGCCAACCTTGAGTTGCTTCAAAATTTTCTTCAGCTTCAGAGGCATGAAGTAAGTACATCCTATTGGAAAAAAAATGGCACAAATAGACTTGTTAGATGCAGGGTTGCTACAACCTCCAATTTTTAAAAAATGCGGTATTTGCAAAGTACAGTAAAACAAAGTACAATCAAATTAGGTGTGTACTGAGGTATGCGTCGGTCATCAGTTTTTTGGTAAGACAAGAAACCAATCTGGCATGCAGAAACTGTCAAGTGGAAGTGTTTTGTTTTTTTTTTGAGAGGTTTTCACTATAGGGCGTGTGTACTCGCCAGACAGAGAGAGACATAGAGACAGAAAGTGAGAAATCACCCCCCAGGGGGGATGGTCACGCCGCAATCCCTTCTCCTCCATTCTCCTCTCGGGATCTTGGGCACGCACGCACACACGCCTGGCGTGAATTTTTAGCCACCGGGTCCAGGACGTGAACCGTGGTCGACTACGTGGGAGTCCAGCGACATAGCCATTACGCTAACTGCTGGTTCCCTCAAGTGGAAGTTTTAAGTGTTTTCCAGAGTTGGGGTGTTTGAAAAAAATATCTTAAGGGATGGACGATGGCACAGTGGCAGAACACAACACTGTGGGAGGCAGACACACATGGGAAAGTTACCCCTTCACATGCAGTGACTTCTCTGAATACTCTGGTCACGTGTGTATCTATGGGTTGGTCTGGCTGAGCCTGAGGATGGCTTGCAGTGTGGAAACCCTGTTAGGGATGATGCATCTCTCTCTGTCTCCCTGCTTCTCTCATTCATGGAATAAATAAAACTTTTAAAATATTTCTTATATTTGCATATCTTTGTATTATTGTTTAAAGATATAGTAGTATGAATTTTAAATTATACTGCTGTAGCACAACTTTTATTTAGATAGATTTTCAAAATGATCTTGGAGGCCAGTTGATGGTGTGGTGGTTAAGGTGGCTGGCTCCCATAAGGTCTCCTGCACCTGTGGCTCAGGTCCCAAATCCTGTGTCTTGAAAAATGCATGTGTACATACATGCCCAAAATCCCAAGAGAAGAATGGAAGAGGAGGGATTATGGTGTGGCCATCCCTCCCTCCCAGGAGTTTTTTTCTCACATTTATAGTCTGTCTCTGCCAAGCGCTCATGCCCTGTAGAAAATTAAAAAAAAAAAAAAAAATAGCTATCCTAAAAATCAGGTCATTTTTTTTTTCTTTTTACTCATATTATTAGTACTTATGTTAACATTGATACTACAAAAGGAATTTGTGAAATTGTTTTATTCATTAGCTTTAGTTAATTTTCTTTGAAACAGGACTTCTCATTTTGCCTTTAATCTCTTCTCTAGGGGTGTGGTTGCTCTTCAAACTCTGCGAAAACTAGTTGAACTAACTCAAAAGCCAGTGCATCAACTCTTTGATTATATTTGTGGTGTGAGCACAGGTAATTATTGTGTACAAGTGGTGTGTTTCTGCAGTGTATTAAGGAAAAGACCACTAAGTACTTACATTTACGATCACATCATTCTATGAAATGATAGGTAATTGTTTCATGTTTTGATGATGAATAATTTTTCCATTTGCTTAATGACGTTTTAAAATGTTTGTTGTAAGTAAATTAACATTCACAAATAGACTTTTATTTGCTTAACTAATATGTTTTAAATAAGTAACTAGTGAAAACTGTGAAGTTTTCTTTGTGATATATATTCACCTTAAGGAAAGTGATGAATTGGAAGGAAAGTAAGTACTCAGATTTTAATTGAAACAAGAGAAAATTAAAATAGAGAAGATCTTTTTTGTGAGGGATGTCTCTATTAGGAAATAGCTTTCTCTATCATTTATTATTTGATTTGAATCCAGAATTTAAGTTGATAAATACGAGAATCTGAGTTTAAAAAACTTTTAAATATTATTAGTTGACATATATATATATATATATATACACACACACATACACACACACACACACACACACACACGTGTGTGTGTTGAGTGAGATTTTTGCTATAGGCACATGTGTTTGCCAGAGATACAGAGACAGAGAGATAGAAAGCGAGAAATCTCCCCCCAGGGGGGTTGACCATGCCACAGTTCCTTCTCCATTCTCCTAGTATTTGGGGGCATGCATGTACACATGTGAATTTCAAGCCTCTGGGTCTGGGCCTCAAACCACGGTCAGCCTTGTGGGAGTCCAACACCTTCACCACTACCTTCACCACTATGCAACCTGCTGGCCCCAAGTTAGTGTATATTTAAAATTGCAATTTCACGTTTCTATAGAGGAAATTGGCAATTCAGGTTAAGATTGTTACTGAATAATTTCTTAGTTTTTGCTAACTCACCACCAGATGAATGTTTTGGTTTTTTTATGTTTTGATTTTCTGTGTCTTTACAGTAGTTCTCTCACTTCTTTTCTCTCTTCTTTTTTTTTTTTTTCTGTGTATTCATTAAGCCTCTCAGAATACCCATAGCGAGAAATCATTCCCCAGGGGGGATGATCATGCTGCAGTCTCTTCTCTATTCTCCTCTCGGGATCTTGGGCACACACGCACATGTGCTAGGCGTGAGTTTAAGCCACCAGGTCCGGGACTCGAACTGCGGTCGACTACATGGGAGTCCAGCGATATAGCCATTATGCCATCTGCTGGTCCCCCATTTTGCAAATTCTAAGTTAGTTTGTACGTAGGGTTTTTATTTTTTTAATTATTTAATTTTATCTTTTATTTATTTATTTCAATTTGACCAGAGAAGAACAGGGTGTGAGAGAGAGAGAAAGAGAGAGGGAAAGTGAGAAAGCAAGCTGCCAGGTCTGGACTTGAGCTATGGGTGGCCACATGGGAGTCCAGCGCCCTTAACCACCAAGTCACCTGCCAGTCGTGTACTTAGGGTTTTTTTCTTTTCTTTTTTTTTTTGAGAGGTTTTCACTATAGGGCGCGTGTGCTCGCCAGACAGAGAGAGACATAGAGACAGAAAGTGAGAAATCACCCCCCCCCCCAGAGGGGATGGTCACGCCGCAGTCCCTTCTCCTCCATTCTCCTCTCGGGATCTTGGGCACGCACGCACACGCGCCTGACGTGAGTTTTAAGCCACTGGGTCCGGGACACGAACCGCGGTCGACTACGTGGGAGTCCAGCGACATAGGCATTATGCTAACTGCTGGTTCCCTGTACTTAGGGTTTTTATAGTTAATAAATTCTTATTTAGTTTAAGGGCAATGTTCTTTTGACTTCAGTAAAGTTAATTTAATATTTTAATCTCTTCTAACTTTTATAGAATTTCTGTTTAAAAAGAAAATAATTTTTGTAAATTATTGTGCTAATTAAAAATACTCTGCAAACTGAGGCCAGCAGGTGACATAGTGGTTAAGACACTGGACTTCCACGTGGCAGACCACGGTTCAAGTGCCAGATCCAGCAGCTTGAAACTCATGCAGGGCACATGTGCACGTATACCCAGAATCTTAAGAGGAGATTGGAGGAAAAGGGATTATGGCATGGCCATCCCCACTGGGGGATGATTTCTCACTTTCTGTCTCTCTTTCTCTCTCTCTCTCTGTATCTTTGGTGAGCACACATGCTCTATGACAAGAAAAGAAAAAGAAACATTCCACAAATTAAAAAAATAATTTCTATTATGTAGTTAGACCATAAGAATCCATTTTTTAAAAACAATCTGATCTTTTATTAGAATAACACCAAGTATAATGAAATATATGAAATGTTTGAAATACATTATGATAGTGATGTCTTGCTTTTTCTTTGCGTCTCGTTGCCATCTCAGCTTAAACTGTGATGATATACATGTCTTTTTCCAGTCCTACTCTCTTTTATGAATCCTCCTGCTCCCCATTTTCTCTTTAGTTCAACGTAGATCACTTAAGAACACTAGGTGGCAGTGTGTCACACCAGTTAGTACATTAGTGTTTAATTTATGAAATCAGCTATTTAACAGGATATCCCAGAATACTGAATGTCTTTTAGATTGGTTCTCAGGACCAAACTGAAAGAGTAATTGCTTAATGAGTTGATGAGTTGTCAAATATAGCATAGTCTATGACTAATTAATCTAACCTACCTCACTTCTTTTATTTTTTTAATTGCTGAAGGGCCTGTGACTCACCAGAAAGAGAGAGGCAAGAAAGACAGACTACCCAATCGTGGTGCACGGTCACACCACAATCCCTTCACCATTTCTCCCTCTTTTTGGGATTTTGGGCACATGTGCACACACGTCTGGCCTGATTTTCAAGCCACTGGTGCTAGTATTCGAACCTCGGTCAGCCATTTAGAATCCTACTTCCCTTAACCACTAGGCTACAGTTACTTGGCCCCACTAAGTAACTTACTGAGGTTGGAAAGGATGGTATTACCTACCACAGTATCTTCTATGTCATTTAATTCAATGTAAAACAGTATTTTTAAATTGTCATTGGTCAGCATTTTTTAATCCTTTTTGAGGCCTGGTAAAACCTCAGAATATGAAGGTTTTGGAAAGTTTGTGGAAAAATGGAATTATGAGTTTATTTTGCAAAAAATTTTGAAATCTGTGCATAATTTTTTATTACATACATTTACCATGAACTTTTTGAAGATTGATCACAAAGTTAGGCCAGTATGTGTTATGCCAGTGGGATAAACACACATTTTAGTAGTTGTTGTTATTCTCATTTTACAGATGGAAAAATTGAGGGTTGGGGCCGGCAAGTGGCATGGTGGTTAAAGGCGCTGGACTCCCACATAGCCGACCATGGTTCAAGTCTTGGACCTGGTGGCTTGCTTTCTCACTTCCTCTCTCTCTCTGTCTCTCTCTGATCAAACTGGAAAATAATAATGATAATAGTAATAAATAAAGGTAAATAATAATAATTCTTTAAAAAAAAAAAGAAAGAAAAATTGAGGCTCTGAGAAGCAAAGGAATATGTTCTAGGTGACATAGGTAGAAAATATCAAAGCTAGAATTAAAGCCAGATCTGTGACTCAGGAGGTTTTATAATCCTAAATGCTGTAATGTCAACATGGATAGAAACTAAAAATTCTATTTTTCAGGTGCTATATTAGCTTTCATGTTGGGATTGTTTCATATGCCCTTGGATGAATGTGAGGAACTTTATCGAAAGTTAGGATCAGATGTATTTTCACAAAATGTTATTGTTGGAACAGTCAAAATGAGTTGGAGCCATGCATTTTATGACAGTCAAACGTGGGAAAAGATTCTTAAGTAAGTTATGATTTTTTAAAATATTCTGATTTATAGTTAATATATACATATTATAATTTGAAAAATACAGAAAAATAAGAGCACTATTAACATAGTTATGTATTCTTTCTGGAATGTCCTACAGATAAACAAGTATATATGTGAATATGTTTGTGAATGTGTATGTATTCATCCTATTAACAAAAATGGAATGATAATATATGCATATTTTTATTTTGTTTTTTTAAGAGGTTTTTGCTATAGAGCATGTGCACTCACTGGAGAGACAAAGAGACAGAAAGCAAGAAATCACCTCTCAGTGGGTATAGGCACGCTGCAATCCTCCTCCTCCTTTCTCCTCTTGGGATCTTGGGCATGCACACACACATGCCCAGCGTGAGTTTTAGGCCACTGGGTCTGCAGCTCAACAACAATCAACTACGTGAGAGTCCAGTAACCAATATGCCATCTGCTGGTCCCCACAAGTGTAGTTTTGAATCTTGAGTTTTCATTTAGTATTTTATCACAAATAATTTCCTATGTCATCATGTATTTTGAAACATGCTTTTAATAGTGGTTCACTATCCCAATTTATGAATTCATCATTTTTTATTTAATAATTTCCCTATTGGAAAAGGACGCTTCATATGTTCTTGCTGTTCAAAATAGTTTAGATGGACATGCTCCATCTCTGTATGAATCTCTCGTTATATCTTTTTTTTTTTTTTTTTTTTTTTGTTGATTTTTCTTTTTTTTTTTTTTTTTTTTTTTTTTTTTGGAGAGGTTTTCCGCTATAGGGTGCGTGTGCTCACCAGACAGAGACATAGAGACAGAAAGCGAGAAATCACCCCCCAGGGGGGATGGTCACGCCACAATCCCTTCTCCTCCATTCTCCTCTCGGGATCTTGGGCACGCACTCACACACACCCAGCGTGAGTTTTAAGCCACCGGGTCCGGGACGCAAACCATGGTCGACTACATGGGAGTCCAGTGACATAGCCATTACGCTAACTGCTGGTTCCCTCTGGTTATATCTTTAAGGTAAATTTCTAGAATTGAAATTTTTGGTCAAAGGGAGTATATATAGTTCAAGAATCTTGATGTATATAAAGCTTAATTGTTCTTTAAAACAATGTCCTGGCTTACTTATCCACCAGCATCATCAATATGTATATCATTTGACAAAATATTCCTGAATTCCAAACAATTTACTATTTGAAAGTATTTATCAGTTTAAGAGATTTTGAATCTGGTATTTAAGTTTATATTACTTTATTACTGGTCAGGTTTTTTTTTTGGTGAATTTTGAGGGCATAACTTTTGCTTACTTTCCAATTGGAATATTCTTCACTCTGTTGTAAATATATTAACCATACATTGAAAATGTGCTTTTTAGTTAATGATTTTTTTTTAAGTGAGTTTAAAATCTTAAGTTAGTCATCTGTCTTTCAGTGGTTTTTAACTTGGCTTTTCATGTTTATTGTTTTTTCTATCCAGAAAACAGATAAATATATTATTTTCTGGTCCTAATTAAAATTATTTAGTTTATGTTTAATACTGAAGTCACCTGAAATTTTATTTTTATGTAGTCTAAAAGGAGTCAAGCTTTTTTTTCCCTGAAGTATTAATTTAAATATTAATGAATTAAATATCCTAGTATCATTTACCGAGTATTTTTTCCTTTTTTTTAAACTGATTTGAAGTACTACTTTTATTTATATTTTAAATTCTTATCTACATTATAATGTGTCTAAACTTTTTTCTCTTGGTTTGTTTGTTTAAGAGCTGGTCTCACTTGTGTTGTATCTTCCTTCCTTAGCCTCCTGGTCAATTTGTTTTTGTACAAATTCTGTAAATTTATTTCTTTACTTTTGTATAATTTGCTTTTATATTAATATAGCAAGCTTTTTCTTAGTTTTCACAATTCTGTTAACTATTTTCATTTAATCCTCAGGATGAATCTCAGGTTATTTTTATCACCAAAAAAAAGCCACAGATAATATAGATGGAAATTGAAATGTATTACTTATTTTGTAGAATACTGACATTTTTCCAATTGTGAAAAATTCCCAGTCATTATCAGTGTATGATACTTATTTTCAGATCTTTTGTATATTAAAAATATTTATCAATGCTTATACTGTAAAATTATAATACTATTTATTAAGTTTTTTTTTCAATGAGCATTTCAAATTTTACTGTAAGGGCCAGCAGGTGGCATGGTAGAGTGCTGGATTCCAACATAACTGGCCATGGTTTGAGTCCTGGTTTGAGCAGCTTGAAAAAATTATGCTGGTGTGTACGCATATTTGCCCAAAGTTCCAAAAGGAAAATGGTGGAGAAGAGATGGCGAAGTGGCCATGCCTCTGAGGGGTGATTTATCACTTCCCCTCTCTGTCTGCCTCTGGCAAATGCATGCACCCCATGGCAAAAACCTTAAAAAAAAAAAAAGTACTGTTGACCTACCTCCTCTACGGTAAATTTTTTTTTTCTTTTGTTTTTCATGATAGTCCTTTCACATATTTTCATATTACTATTTAAGTTTTGTTCTTTCAGAGACTTTTTTTTTTAATCTCAGTACTAATATACTTTGTAGGTTAATTGTTGTTTTTGTCTGTTATTGCATTGCTTACAGGAATCATTGAGACTGAGTGGTTTTGTATAGAAATATGGTTGTACGTAGCTCACATTTTAGAGATCCAGGACCACTTTCCAATGAAGCTATAACATGGCAGAGGGCAGAATCTTAGGTAGAGCAGAGCATGATCCATGTGGCTTCTGCCTGCCTTATTTTCTGTCTTATATACACACCAGAACCCAGTCATGGAGGCCCCTCCTATCCACCCAGTCACTAATCTCCTCCTGGAGTTCTCCCCCACCCACTTGACAATATTTTCAGATTAAATTTTTACCCTCTAATTCCTTTCTAATGCCTGAACACATGAATTTAAAGAGGGAATATATTAAAAACAGCAGGGTTTTTTTATTAGAATTATTCAATTTTACTTATTTTAATTGACTAGAGAGAGAGGGAAAATGGGAATGCAAGTTTCCAGGTCTAGGATTCGAACTAGAGTTGCCCATGTGGGAATCCAGTGCCTTGACCACCTTGCCATCTGCTGGCTCCAGCAGTTGTTGTTTTCCTCTGCTTTTTCACACAGCCTTTGCTGTACAACGGACCATTCTAAAACTTAGTTGCTCAAACTAATAACAGTTTAGTCTTATGCTTTTGTGGTTTGACTGGGTGCTGCTTCTGCTCTTGCCTGAATTCACCTACTCTGCTGGTAATCTGTAGTTGGGCTAATAAGACAGGGCCAGCTGGGTCTTTCTACATGGTCATTCTCATTCTGGGCTTCTCTTATCTGCTCAGTCTCAGCGTTCCAGAGGGCAGGCCTAGGACATAAGTACTTACCAAGTGTCAGTTTAATGGTGTGTCTGCTGATGTCCCATTGTTCAAAGCCATCGAAACCAAGGGTCTTTGCGAGAAGGGACTATCAAGGATATGTTTATCAGGAAGTGTGGTTCATTATTACATTCTAGCACAACTATCCTTTGACTGCTTTCATCATAACAGTGTTTTAATTGTTTAATTGCCAGAAGGCATATGCACTCACCAGAAAGAGATAGGGAGAGTGAGAAATCACCCCCCACTGGGTGTAGTCATGCTGCAGTCCTTTCTCCTTTTCTTACCTCTTGTCAGGATACATGCCTGATATGATTTTCAAGCTTCCAGGGCCAGAATTCAAACCTCTGTCAGCCATGTAGGGGGTCCATCTTTCTTAAACATTAGATTATAGGGCTGTCCCAGGGGCACTATTTTAAATTGTTAAATCTAGTAAAATCTTAAGAGTTTTGAGGATTTTTTTTCATATTTCAACATGTCTCTGAAATAAGCAATTATCATTGGTAACTTTTTCCTCAAAGTTACATTCATAATTCCACTAAAGCATTTTAGCTCTTTTTACAAAATCAAGGTTTAAACAAAGAATAAATATGAGCTTTGCTTCAAAGTGTAAGAACAACATGCTTCCAGGGTTTCTTTGTTAATTTTATGGCAAGAATTCTATAAAAGATAAAATTGACACTTAGAAGAATAACATTGCATTGATCTGAAGATCAAATATATAGACCAGGTTGGAAAAAAACAAAGGTCTTGTCCATTTTTGGACTTGTCCATTTTACACTGATGTTTGCAAAAACTTGTAAAAGAGGGACCAGCAGTTAGGGTAATGGCTATGTCACTTAACTCCCATGTAGTCAACTGCGGTTCGAGTCCCGGACCCAATGACTTAAACTCACGCCAGGTACATGTGCGTGCATGCACAAGATCCTGAGAGGAGAATAAAGAAGGGATTGCAGCATGGCCATACCCCCTGAGGGGTGATTTCTCACTTTCTATCTCTCTGTCTCTTTCTGACTTTTTGGTGAGCCTACGCACCTTATAGCAAAAATCTCTCTGGAAAAAAAAGAAAAACAAAAAACTTGTAAAGGGTAGGTCACTAAGCAAATTGTAAATATTAGCTTTATGTGAAATTCACTAGCATTCTAGTTGAGCAGTGTTAAGTATTGTTTGAAAAATGTCATTAGAAACATGGCTTTTCTGATGAGAAAAGTTGGTAAAATTATAGTCTTTATGTTTAATTAGGGTGTGAGGATACACGAGTTTTAGGTCTAAAGAAAGTTTGTATTAGAATAAAGTCCCCTAACAATGGAATTGTGAAAATCAAAGACAATTTATATAATAATACATAATTCAAATTCCAACTCAGATGATTTTAAAAGCTGGGTTTGTGTGTGTGTGTGTGTGTGTGTGTGTGGTTTTTTGGTTCTGTTTTGTTTTATGGCTTCTGCTCTGTACTACTCACTAAAGCAAGTTTACAGTCCTAATGTTCTGACCTGATTTTTAGATAACTCACTTTTCCATGCGTACATCTGCAGTCTTATCTGAACACAGCTCCTTTGTTCTTGCTGCAGGAACCTGGAAACAACAGATTCATCCTGCCTTTGTGCCTTTATCCTATCTAAGTCCTGGCTTTGAATTTGCTGCCCTGCCATCTTTAGGTGTCCTTCTCGAGCTCACTTCCATGCATCTTTCCTTATTACTGCAGCCTGTACTGATTGCTCCACCTCAGAATGATCAATACTTGTAGTTTGATTTGGAGATTAATAAATAACTGCATGTTGATTTATGTGCTTTAATTGGATCATAGGCCTCCTAAAAGAGATGGGTTTTGTCCCTCATTTTGCTTTGATAAAGCCATGGGCAAATAGTAATTGCTTAGTGTTCCCTGATTGTGTGGAGATAAAATCATAGTGAAATAATTTATTTCTTCTTCTTTAATCAAGGGATAAAATGGGATCTGCACTAATGATTGAAACAGCAAGAAACCCTACCTGTCCTAAGGTGAGCTGAGAGTTTCTTCAATATAATTGCTGTTTAGAACTAAAGGTCTGGTGAAAGCACTTATTCTGAGGACCCTTTTATTAAATGAAAAATTTCTTAGGAATTGAATTCTATTAAATAATTTCTCACACTACTTTTTTATATATTGGGGTCATTCTATGAAGATAAGTGAAATGATCATTAGTCCCTTTACATATTTAGTAAAACTATAGCAAAACTTTAAGCATATGAACAGCTGGACTAATAATAAGGAAAAATAGTTTTATCACAATTGTTTTAATGAAACCTAGTAACTTAAGGAATGTGGTGGCATTTCCTCCCTTTTTTTAATTATTATTATTTTTGTTTTATGGCATGTACACTCACTGGAGAGAAACAGAGATAGTGAGAGGGAAACCGAGAAATCACCTCCCAGGGGGATGCCCATGCACAGTTCCTTCTCCAGTATCATCCTGGGATTTGGCCATGCACGCACACGCACCTGGCATGATTTTCAAGCCACAGGTCCAGGATTGGAACCACAGTCGGCCATGTGGGAGTCCAGTGATGGAACCACTATGCCATCTACTGGCCCCCTCCCTTAGATTTTTAAAGGGTGTGTGTGTGTGTGTGTGTGTGTGTGTGTGTGTGTGTGTAAGTAACCTCAATTTAAAAATTATGTAATCTCACTTAGATATGTCTTAGTGTGACTCTTCTATTTGTTTGAAACCTAATGATCTGAGTATTGCTTGAGTTCTGTTTTCCTTAATAATACTTTAGTGATTAAGGAATAGAATTTATGTGCCTTGGCAGCCCAAACAGTTTGTATTTATTCTTGGGTGACAAGCTGTAACCATGAAAAAAATCAAACAAGTACAGCCCCATCTGTTGCTCTTAACTCTGGCATCTTCAACTTTTATTCATTCTGGAAATACTAATTACATGCTCACTGTGCCAGCACTGCTCTAGGCACTTGACGTATTAGTGAGCAAAGCACATGTGTAATTTACAACCACCAAGGCAACATAGGTATACACAACAACAACAACAACAACAAAACAGATAACATAGTTTCTCTGAAATAACTGCTGTGGAGCTCAGAAACAGTTTGCTGAAAGCATATATTTAAAGGGCCATGAGATCTCAATGTGAAGACTGCTGAGTAGGAGCATTTCTGGCAGAGAAAATGGTCTTTACAGGAAGAATAATAGAGAATTCCAGCAAAACTTGAAAGAGTTCCTTTAGACTGCAACCAGCGACAGTCTATGACTTGAGGCTGGAGCAATAGGCAAATCAAAGAAGGCAAGACCTGTACGTCTTGATGAAGAGATGACTGACGTCTTTTGGAGAAGAACCTATGATGCACATCATACCTCTTGTTTGTCCCCTTGTATGTCCAGGCTTCTTTTTTTGTTTGCTTGCTTTTTTTAAAAAAAGAATTATTTCATTTAACTTTATTTATGTATTTTACTTTTTAAATTTGACCAGAGAGGAACAGAGAGAGAGAGAGAAAGTGAGAAAGTAAGTCACCAGGTCTTAGACTCGAACTGCAGTCAGCCATGTGGGAGTCCAGCATCCTTAACCACCTTGCCACCTGCCGGCCCCTGTTTACTTGCTTTTAAATGGAAGTTGTTGGTTTTTTTTAAGTGTATTCATCTTTTTATTTTATCAGAGAGAGAGAGGCAACCCAGTGGAGCCCAGCCCCAGTTTCAGCTGACCTGTATTATAAGCAGGTGTGTCTGACATGCTCAGGAAGACCTTTCCCATGTGGGCCCAATTGCATTACCACCACAGTATCACCCGGCCCCATGAAGTTGTCAATTTTGAATAAAAGACTAGAGTAGTAAGTGTAGGGACACTTTTGCCACCTCAAAAAGTAAGTAATTCGTGGGGGCCAGCAGGTGGCATGGTGGTCAAGGTGCTGAATTTCCACATGGCCCACTGAGATTCGAGTCCTAGACCTAGCAGCTTGGAAGTCATGCCAGGAGTTTTGTGTGTGTGCCCAAAATCCTGAGAGGGACTTAAGGAGAAGGAAGTAGTGTGACCATCATCTCAGGGGGAGTGGTTTCTCACTTTCTCTCTTTCTGTCTCTCTCCAGCAAGTGCACACACCTTATGGCAACATCCCCTCTCCCCCCCAAAAATGTAACAGTGACTCATATGTTTCATAATTCAGCCCTATCTAAATACCAGTTATAAAAAGACGCTCTGAATTTTAGTGCATGGACAGCTCTCATGGATAGCAATTGAGACACACTTGGATTATTTGCAGAAATTTGGGATTTGATCTACCCCCAGAGTCAGCTAGCATGGATCATGGGCACACATGCTTGTTTAAGGAGGCCTTAGGACTCTAATTGAGGACCTGGCCCATGTAGGTTCATTTATGTTACCACTGCACCACCTTCTGTCCCCATATAAATCATTAAGTAATTTTTACTCATTGTCACTACTGCTGTGTTAATTATTACGTGTAAGTCTAGAAATTGGTGGCTCCTTGAATGTCTTTTTAAGTCAAATCATGAACTCGAAGAAACATTTTTCTATTATTATTCTCTTGTGATACATTTCTGAGAATTATCTTAGTCCTTTTAGCCATTGTCTTGTTAAGAATACCTGTTTGGTGGCCAGCAGGTGGCGTGGTGGTTAAAGCAGTGGACTTCCACGTGGCCGACCACAGGTTGGGTCCCATACTCCGTGGCTTGAAACTCACACTGCGCACTTGTGCCATGTTTGCCCAAAGTCCTGAGAGGAGAATGGAAGAGAAGGGATTGTGGCATGGCCATTACCCCCAAGGGGTGGGATGATTTCTTGCTTTCTGTCTCCACACCCTATAGCAAAAATCTCTCTCAAAAACAAAATTAAATACTTGTTTTAAGATACCTGGTTCCCTTTGCTCAATCTATTTGTGTTACACATTCATCTTTTTGGATAGTTGTAGATTGTTTATTCATACTACTAAATAGTATTTAGTTTTCACAGATCCCAAATATTGCTGCGTATAATGGTATTGTTTACTTTTTAATTTACTAGGTAGCAGCCGTAAGCACCATAGTAAATAGAGGGATAACGCCAAAAGCTTTTGTGTTCAGAAACTATGGTCATTTTCCTGGAATCAATTCTCATTATTTGGGAGGCTGTCAGTATAAAATGTGGCAGGCCATTAGAGCCTCATCTGCCGCTCCAGGCTACTTTGCAGAATATGCACTTGGAAATGATCTTCATCAAGTAAGTTGACTTCTGTGGCTTATTGGTTTAAAATTTTATGTGATTGAGAGAATTAGCACTGGGCTAGCAGGTGGTGTGGTGGTTGAGGCGCTGGACTCCCTCATGACCAATTGCATTTTGAATCCCAGACCTGGCATCTTCCTTTTTCACCTCCCTCTCACCTGTGTGTCTCTCACTGGTGGGTACATTGCCTTACAGAAAATTAAAAAATAATAATAAAATAAAATAAATTTTTTTAAAAAGAGAATCATCGCTTACTAAATGTCACTATATTTAAGAGGGATCAACCAAGGAGACTTTTTAAAAAATTTTATTTATTCATTCATTTATTTTTTAATTTGACCAGAGAGGGACACAGAGAAAGAGAGAAGCAAAGTGAGAGAGCAAGCCACCAGGTCCAGGACTCAAACCATGTTTGGCCATGTAGGAGTGTCCAGCACCTTAACCACCACGCTACCTGCTGGTCCTGAGGAGACTTTTTCTATCTGACTCCATATGTCAATATGTATGATTCAAGGTATTTTTATTCATTGTTATTTTTCTTAAATTAGTAAGCCATCAGATTTGAGAACTATTTTAAGCAAGAATTTTGTATTTCATGTCATGTAACTCAGTCAATTATCATTTTATTGATGGAAAAATTAGAGAGTATGTATGATTAGCTTACTAAATGTGATGAAAACTTAACATGAACTGCAATTCCTGAAAATCTAGAGCCCTGTCTGTTTGAGAGTTTCAATGGGCTTATTTTGAAGAAGATATGAATAATAGTCAATACTCGTAAAGTTAGTTATGTGTCAGACACTTATTTAGTCTTTCACTTGCATTATCTCATTTAAACATTGCTACTTATGCGGTAAAGGAAGTTATTTCCATTTTATAGATAAGAAATAGGTGTCATAAGAACGCTTAAGTAACTAGACTACAGTGACAGGACACTATCTGTGATTATACTTAAATTTATGGTTAAATTGTACAGTTGAGGATTATTTCTGGTAATTTGTTCTTTTCCTGCTATGTAAACCATTTGTATATCTGAAATTTTTGGTCAGGTTTTTCCCACTATTTATCAAAATTTTAATTCATAACTAACACTAAATGATAAAAATAAAGTGAATAAAGATTTTGAGCTGATGCAATGAATTTAGAATACAATAAATTTTATACACTACAAATGTAAATTTATGTATAAACTTAAAACACCAATTTTAAAATGGTGTTCATGCTACAGACTTTTAGTTTTGCCAAATATTAGTGGCATTATTAAATAATAAGTATCCGTATTTTGGGACCATGTTTTCAGTGTTTCAAAGAAGTTATCTCCTTTGTTCTGTTTTCTTTATCGAAGAAGAAATCATCATAACATTTAATTCGGTCACACTGAATATGTATTACAAATCAAAGTAATTCAGAGGTTCTCTTTTCCACTTGAGATAGACTAGTGATATTTAAATTCATGCTTAGCAATTTTTATATCAGACCTTATCTTTCGATTTATTTTGAACTACAGATTAAAATAACTTATGTGATTCTATGTAAAGTATATAATCATATAGAGGATATACTTTTTATATAAATCAGTGACCTCCAGAAAAATAGGCATATTTAACTAAATAAGAATATTCAGGGACCAGCAGATGGCATAATTGATATGTCACTGTACTCACATGTAGTCGACTGTGGTTCAAGTCCTAGACCCAGCATCTTAAAACTCAGACCGGGCATGTGTAGACACATGCCCAAAATCCTGAGAGAAGAATGGAAGAGAAGGGATTGTGGTGTGGCCATCCTCCCAGGGAGTGATTTCTCATTCTGTGTCTCTCTGGTGAGCATACATGCTTATAGCAAAAATCTCTCTAAAAAAATAAAAAGAGTATTCAGATGGAATACACAGTCTGAGCAACCTAGTTAAATATTTCCCTTATTATATATTCTCTTTTCAAAACTTGAAAAATAAATGGAATATTTCTCCCTTTAAAAGACAACTAGAAAGATTGATAAGAATATTCTAAGATGTCAATGATCAGTTGGTTAGACAGAACATAAGCAAAGTTGCTTCTTTCCATTCTTCAGAAGTTGCCACATTTAAAACTAAAATATAGGGGCCAGCAGGTGGTGTAGTGGTTAAGGCACTGGACTCTGAAATGGTAGACCACAGTTTATAGGTTATAGTCTATTTGAGCAGCAATTTGAAATAGGGTGATAATTGCTGCTCAAATAGACTATCAACCTATAACTTATACTCTACCCATTTCCAAAAAGAATATAAAATAATTTACATTAAGACTTATGTCAAACATGACAATTTAAAGGGATTTTTAAAAAATAGACTGGAAATGTAGATGGCTGGTGAAATTTCATCTGCTTTTGACTTTAAGGAGAAGAATATTATTGCAATATTTATAGAGTATATTGCATTTTCTAGAAAACTGTAAAGTAAGAAGAGTTCTCTTTGAAGACGAACTTCCAATTTCTCCCCCAGCCTAAGTAATAGCATAATATTTATCTGAATGTTGTACTTTTTACATAAAATTATCCCATCTCTCTTTTCTCTTTTCATCTCCACCTCCAGAATCAAACTGTTCATACCCTATCTTTGGAGAAAGAATCTAGTTAATTAGTTTGCACCAAAGGTTTTGAAGACTGATTATTATTCCTCTTAGGCTTTATTTATATTATAAAAGATTATGTTCAGTTTCAGATATATTAACCTTAAAGGAATTAAGACATTTATATGAACATTTCACTTAGAGAATGTTTTTTTAGCAGGAGACTGCCTACCTACCACCTGCCAAATTATGCCAGTGCCAGACCACAACTAATAATTTTTATTGTAACTAGACAGTCTAGATGTAGCTTGTGCTTGCTCAGTGCCAGTCCCGTGCCCCTGGGAAGGTACAAAAGGTTTTAGTATCAGCTACCACTTCCTGGATCCTGCCCTCAAATATTTCAAACTAGAAGAATATAAAACCATTTTAGAGAGGTGATAAAATCCAATAAACATATACACAAGATTAAGAGTAGAGTTGTGATTTATTCTGTTAAGGTCAGCTTTACAAAGAAGTTGTCCTATGCATTAGTATATAAAGAATAAATAGTTCAGTGGTTGAGTGTTATGCTAAGGAAGTCAGATCTCACTTGGCTGACCACAGTAGCTTGAGAAATACTCCTGACACGTGTGCATGTGTGCCAAAATCCTGACAGGATGGAGGAATGGATGAAAAAGGATTGCAGGGTGACCATGTCCCACAGGAAGCATGCATGCACTTAAGTTTTCTCTCTCCTTTGCAAACACATATGCCCTTTGGCAGTTAAAAAAAATAAGACTGTAGTGATAGAAACAGATCAGTGGTTCTCAGAGGTCATTTGTCAGAGGAGGATGTACCTAAAAGAGATAGGTAGCATGAGAGTTTTTTGGGAGGCTCACACTGTTCTGTTTTCTGATGGTAGTACTTACACAAATCTGTCTGTATGAAAGATTCAGAGAACTATATTCCAAAAAAGTTAATTTCATTGTATACATATAAATAGATGGATAGATATTTGCTATAGGGGGCATGAAAAAAAGAGCAAGAGAAAGAAAATGAGAAATCACAGCCTCCCCCCCAGGGAGTTGGCCATGCTCCTCACCATTCTCCTTTCATGATACTGGGCACATAAGCACACACACCCGGAGTGATTTTCAAGCCCTGGGGTCATATCATGGAGTTCTTTGGGTTCTAGCACCTTAACTTCCATGCTATTTCTGGCCCTTTATAATCTTAACAATTAAAATATTTTTAATGAAATTCATTACTTCATGAAATAGTGTGTACCACATTACTGAAAGTATTAAAATTTTGTCAAGAAATTTTGTAGGGCTTTATGTAGGAAATTGAACTAAAGGACTTGCGGTATCTGTTCCACTTCTCAATAGTGATAATTGCTGATTCCAGGAAAGATGCCAAGAAATCAGTGACATCAAGTGTCATGCGAGGGACCAGCAGTTAGCGTAATGGCTATGTCGCTGAACTCCCATGTAGTGGACCGCGGTTCCAGTCCCGGAACTGGTGGCTTAAAACACCAGGCACGTGTGTGTGTGCACAAGGTCCTGAGAGGAGAATGGAGGAGAAGGGATTGAGGTGTGGCTATCCCTCCTGGGGGGTGATTTCTCACTTTCTGTCTGTCTCTGTCTGGTGACCGCATGTGCCCTATAGCAAAAACCTCTCCAAAAAAAAAAAAAAAGGTCATTCGAGGGCCTGGCCCTGTTGCCTAGTATTTAACAGAGCTGGATACATGTCTAAGCACCATTTGAATTCCAGCCCTGGCAGCCTGGCAGCTTGAAAAACACACCACATGCTTGTTCATGTGGCCCAAACTTCTGAGAGAATGGAGAAATGGAGAAGGGCATGTGCACACTCCATTGAAGGGTGCTTTCTCCCTTTCCTTCTCTCTCTCTTTCTCTCTCTGCCTCAGTCTGACAAGTGCATATCCCCTCTGGCAATTTAAACAAAAAAAAATTTTTTTTTAGTTTCAATTTTGCTGTAGGTCACGTGCATTCACCAGAGAGAAAGAAGAGAGCGAGCGAGCGAGCGAGCGAGCGAGCAAGCATCCCCCCCAGAGGGAGTGGGCACACCACAGTCCCTTATCCAGTCTCCTCTCAGGATTTTGAGCACGTATGCACATGCATCCAGTGTAATTTTCACCAGACCCAGACTTGAACCACACAATTCGCCATGTGGGATCCAGTGCCTTAACCTCCATGCCGCTTGCTGGCCCTAAATAAAATTATTTTTTAATCATGTGTGTTTATTTAGATTGTTAGATTGTTTACCCAATAAGCAGGAAACCTCTTTCCTTACACTCAATAGGCCATTGATTAACTGGTGTTATATGGAAAAAGGTGACTGAACATTCACTTGAACTATTTTAAATCAGATGTAGTTTCCTAGATTTTAAATAAAATATATAATAATATTATGTAATATGTTTTAATATATTAGATTGTTGGAAAAGCCATGATGTATTTTTTTATGTTTTGCTATGCAAAAATACATCATGACGTTATTGATGACCAATAGTTCTGCAAAACATTTTATTTGACTATAATTTTACATGCTTTAAAAAAAATTAGTTTTGTTTAATGAATATTAACTTCCTTGTAGAAAACATAGGATTTATACCTATTAAATGATATTCTAATAAGAATCAATGTATCTGTGCACAGATAACTTCATTAAACAAAGATCTTCTCATTATAGATCAAACCTTGTAAATAGGCCTAAACTGGCAGTACCCATTGCTCTTTTATTATGGGTGAATTCCACAATTTACAAACAAACCTCTTATTTACAGGACAGGTTCAGGCTTTCAGAATGTCTTTAGTGTATACTTCCTGATACTGGAGAGTCCAAATTTTCCTTATGTCTATCAAATGATATTTACATGCAGCTACATGGCATTTTGCAGGGGCACCCTTCTACTCCAGAGTTAAATACATAATAAACACAGTTCAGTACACAGAAAGACATAATGCAGTCAGGATAATTCTCTGGTAATAATTATATGTCCTCCATTCTTCTTGAAACTATTAGGTTGGTGGGAAAGTCATGATGTGTTTTTCTATGCAACAATGCATGACTCTCCTGACAAACCAATGTAATTTGCTTATTGTTCCTCAAATAAAAATATCTATTTCCTGTCTCTATCACATTCTTTTCCCCTTTTCCAGTTGCTTTCATCTGGAATCCTACACAAGCTCCTATCTGAATATATTCAAGGACCAAGCATAGTCCTGTCTCTCCACCAAAGGAAAAAGTCTTTCTTGACTACTCTACATTAATCTAGGCTCTTGATTAGCCTTTATCAAGCATGTGGCTCTAATCTTTCTATTGCCTGATGCCATTAGTTTTTCAGTTTATTTACTTATCTTCCAATTATATTACAAGCTCCTTAAAGGGCAGATTCTCATATTCTGTTTTTCCGATATTCCTCACATACTTTCAGAGTAAATACTCTAAACGTCCTGGTTTGAAAAAGTAACATGGTCAGAACAATTCCAATCCAACGTGTACATTTAGTGTTCTTCACAGTTGTCCTAGAATCAATCTATGTTCTTTGTATAAACATGGACATTCTGCTAACCCAGCATGTTTTTGAATGTTGGTCACCAGAACTCATCAGCTGACTCTGGGTTCCAGCCACAGGACTGCAGCTGTTCATACTGTGGGAACTCAGCCTCAATGTCATAAACAAAATTTGGATCATCCTTCTTCTGGTTTTTCTCATAAAGCTGGTCCATGATTCTTTTTCTTTTGGCAAGCTCCTTGTCATCTAGTTTGTTCAGGTCCTCTTTGCCATTGTTTCTGCCAACCTCTGCCCCTGTAAATAACTTTGTAAAAAACAATAACTTCTCTAATTGCCTCAGGGATACTAATTCCAGGTAATTCTTATGCAGTGGATTATTCTTTAACTGTTCAGCAACTCTGATACAATCTGAAAACTTTGAAAAGTTTCAGACTGGCGTGATGTCTTGGCTACTTTTCCCCTTGGTTTCATTCTCATAAATTAATAGCTGTAGACTGGAGTCTAATTCCACATTTCTTGACAGTGTACATCATTCCACATATACTTCAGGGTAAACCGGAGGAAATCTGATGAAAATGTGTTAGTTGCATAATAACTTCTTGCCTAGAGAAGAAGTACATAAAACGCATCTTCTCCTCTCGGCCCACATGGAAACTACAGTGAGGGGGTTGATTCCACCCGACCCCAAGCACTAAGAGCACAGTCAGTCGTCTTTGAGGTCGGGCGGAGCCTGGAATTGGAGAAGAAGGTGACAGCCACTGCCCCACTGACATGAAGGTGGGACAAACTCCCCGACAGGAGGCCAAGACCGCAAACACCTGAAGTGGAGGTGGAGGCTGACCCAGAGGGCTTCTGATGATCAGGATAAAAATTTAACATATTTTTATTCTATTTTTTACAGTGGTCAGTATATTTTACCCTTCTTTCCTTTTTTTTTTGTTTGTTTGTTTTTGCTAGAGAGTACATGTGCTCACCAGAAAAAGAGAGGAGAGGAGAAAGTATTCCCCATAAGGAATGCTCATGCCACAGTCCCTTTTCCTTCATCTCTCCTTCCTTTTTTGGATTTTGGGCATGCTCACATGCATGCCTAATCTTTTTTTAAGCTGGTATGTTCAGAACTCAAACTGCATAATCATCCTTGTGGGATCTGACTGTCTCAACCACCAGGCCATGGAGCCATCCCACCCTTTTTTCGTTTTTAACTCTTTAAAAATAACATTAATTATTGATAAATACTTAGAAACAAAGTTTTTGCTTCATTTACATTTTATCTGCATTATAATAAACGTGATACTTGTTAATAAAGTTTTAATGAATTTAGAGCTAACTTGATTATATTTGACTTATGACTAAATAATTAGTTTTAATTGTTTGGGTTAACCACAGTTATTTTCTGTCAGGTTTTTCCCTACAATCTGTATTAGCCACTAAATTACAATATTATGTCTTTAAAAAATAATTCAGTTCATTACGTATTTTTTGAGCAAAATATGCACAGCAATAAAGAAAGTCAGAGAACTTTAATATTAGGAGAGGAAAGCTTAATACAGATTGTCTCATGAGGCCAATTAATTTTCATGTGACCTTTTCTATAGCTATATTTATATAAAAATAAACTCGCTTTGAAAGGAACCTCTTATTTTTAAATAATTTGTTGCTTAGCTCAGCTTTCTCTGTAAGTAAATTTTTACTGTTTAAAATACAATTTTTGTTTTTGTAAGAAATGTTTCTTAACTTGTATTTTGCAGGATGGAGGTTTGCTTCTGAATAACCCTTCAGCATTAGCAATGCATGAGTGTAAATGCCTTTGGCCAGATGTCCCGTTAGAGTGCATAGTATCCCTGGGCACTGGACGTTATGAGAGTGATGTAAGAAACACTGTGACATACACAAGCCTGAAAACCAAACTTTCTAATGTTATCAACAGTGCTACAGATACAGAAGGTTAGTCTCTTTGTTTGCTACCGTAAAATACTTCCAACTCTTAGCATTCAGTTTCCTGTACAATATGCTCATCCCAACTGCAAGAGATTGCGTGGTGTGTTGGAAACACATAGGAGCAAGTATTTGGGGATGTGCTTTTTAGTTTTCTTTCTCCTCACCCTTGTCTTTTCAAGTGACCTAGAATAGAGAGGTTCTTCCTCTCGGAGCAATGCTGCCTTTGCCTGCCTATGGTTGGAGGATTATTTAAAACCAACACATAGGTTTGGTTGGATGCTTTTAAGACAATTAACAAGGAAAAACAACTAAAGGAGTCAAGTTTGTTTAGATATTGACATGATAATAGTGAGAGCATTAGAGTATTCATGGATAGGACCTGCAGGTGGCATAATGGTTAAGGATGCTGGACTCCCACATGGCCAACGGCAATTTAAGTCCCAGACCTGGCAGTTTGCTTTCTTATTTTTCTCTTTCTCTCTGTCTCTCCGTACCCCCAGCCCCTGACCCCCCTGGTCAAATTAAAAATAAAAAAAATTTAAAAATAATTTTTTTTTTAAAGAGTACTCATGGAATTAGATTATTTAGTAATGTGGTTGGTTGCAAACTGGAATTCTAATAAGTTCTGCTTCCACTGCTGCATCCTCTGTAGTCTAGTCTTCATGTAAAGGTCAAAATGATCCTTTTAAAATGTAAATTAAATCGTGTCTTTCCCCTTCTCAGAACCTTTGAGCTTCCCATCACACTTGGAACAAAATCCCAAAAGCCACATTCACTGAGGTTTACCAAGCCCTTTAAGACCTAACCTTTGAATACATCTCTTTCC